GTTTTTGTTCCTGATTTACAGCATCCGCAGTTCTTTTGGTTTTCATTAAACTGATTGGTATACGGTTTCCTACTTTCTTCCTCCCTCCCTTTTTTCAATTCACTGGAACGTTTCCCGCAGCCAGGGAATTTTGGAATATTATAACCAAAGGATCCATTATCCCTGCTACCACTTCCTTTATGATCCTACAGTACTTCAGTACTTGCAGATGACATTAAAATAGCTGGGAAAGTAAGCTGCAATAAAGAAATGAGGAATTTACAAATGGGTACTTATAGGTTAGGTAAATGGGCCAAAATTGACAATTTTGGTCAAAAGAATCAAAAGGCAACTCATTATCTAAATACACACTTTGGCGCAGAGAGATCTGTGCCCTCATGTTTGAATTGCAGAAAACTATTATGCAGGTAACGACTTGGCTGCCTTCAATTCCAATATTTTGCTCACTACTTTTTTCCCTAGTGACAATGATTGTTCCAAGTTCATTCCTTGCTATAACCTCTGCTTTACCTGTACTATTGGGGTGGCACTTGTATCTTACACCATGAAAACTGAGGCTAAATATCGATTTAGTGTCTCTGCCATTTCTGTTTTCCACACTATTAACTCATCCAAGTGATGAACGTTTATTTTAACTGCTCTCTTCCCTTTTATATACTTATAAAAGCTTTTGCTATCTGTTTTTGTATTTTACGTTAGTTTTCTTTCATAATTTACCTTTGAACTTTTTAATTACTTTGTTTTTAGTAACCCTTTGTTGATCTTTAGAAGTTGCCCTGTCTTCCAGCGTGCCACCAACCTTTGCAATATATTATGCTTTAGTTTTTATCTTTGTTATCTTTAACTTTCTTGCTTAGCCATGGGTACAGTTGCAAGACAGAAAAAATGAAATATTCTGAGATAATGCAATAATTTCTTGTTTACAATTTCTACACAAGACTAGGTAAAATGTACTGAGAACAAAAAAGCGCTGGAGATCACTGCAGGTCAGGCAGTATCCATGGAGAGAGCAAGCTAACGTTTCGAGTCTAGACTCTTCATCAGAGCTGACGTGAAGTGTGAAGGGGACAGCAGGGGAGGTGGAGTGTTGGCAGAGGAAGGGTCTTGATAGTGCAGTATCAACACCCTTTCTCCCCAGCACTCCAACACTTCCCCTCCCCGCCCCCAACCGATTGCACAAATGATGTTCTGTCCACACTTCACATCAGCTCTGATGAAGCGTCATCTAGACTCAAAATGTAAGCTTGCTTTCTGTGGATGCTGCCTGTCCCGCTGTGATCTCCAACACTTTTTGATTTAAGTACAGATTCCAGCATCTGTATTAATTGCACCTACATTGTCATCAATAGCTAAAATATGATTCTCATAAACAATTATCTCTTATCCCCATATTATACAATTGGCAGAATACCATCTGTGTCTGTCCTGACCTCAATTAGATTATTAAAAATGGAATAGGAAAATGGTTATTTTAGAAGTACTGTACAAGAACAAAAGTAACATTTTGAAGAAAACTAACATCTTGGAAAATATCTTAAGTGGCACAGTGGACGCTCAAAATTGAATTATTATTTTGATTTCATATGATTAGCAGTTACAGAAATGTTTCCTTTGAAAAACTGGCCTTAGCTTGTTATGTGCTTGACTCAATGCAGATGAATGACTGCTTGCTACTCAAGACGTATGTGTCATTTTTTCTTCAATGTCCTTTTGCAACAATATATTAAGAATGCAACATGGTGTTGGAACAGGATTCCATTACAACCTTGAACAAGCAGTTGGATGACAATGCTTGCAATGGATTGTGCATGGTTAAAACAGCCTTTTAAAGTCTATGTAGACCATCTCGTGGCATCCTCCAAAGAAGAGCAAAGTAGTTCCCTTGTGCCCTTCAATCAACCCCACTGAAACAGTTTTCTGGTTTGCTGCTTGTGAGACCTTGTTTGTTACAATAGAACAAAGACTCCACTTAGAAGTATTTCACAGGTTGTGCAGTCTTTTCTGGTATGCCCTGAGGGAGTGAACAGCACTTTAAAAGTGCAGGGTTTTTCTTTCCTCAGTATATTGAAGAATACAGAAATGGGAAATATATTTTTTTTTGCCTTTGGGCTCAGTTTGAATTTTGTTTTAAGTTTTTTTGGATAATCTGGAACATTACTTTGAGGCAGGAAGTCTGCAGAATTTTCAACTCGCAGCTTTAAGTTTGCATTGGATTAACTTAATGAAGACACTTTTTTGAAGTGTTTTTATTTATCTTGAGAGGTGGAGGTTTCATAATGAGTTTACTCCTCAAGATCATAACCCAGCTTTAAAAAGATTGAATCAGTGTTACAATATTAAGAAATAAATCTGATTACAAACTAATAAAATAGTTTACATATTAATCTTGAAGCACAATTTACGTTGTCAGAATACACTGTTTGACAACTGTTACCATTGGAACATGAGGAAGCTAAACACCAAGTGATCATAAAGGTATATTTATGAATAGAGGTGCTCCCATGAAAGTTTGTAGTAATCTTGCACTAAATCTCTCTGTTCAATATTTTAATGCCAGTTTTAACCTGTTCAGAAAGAACTGAAAATCTATCCAAATATCATTCCCATTCTAAAACAGATACTGTTGATCCTCCATCTAGAAGTCTGACCATTGGGAAAGAATTTTCTCATTCACATTTAAGAGAATAGACATGATGTTTAAAATGTGCAAATGTA